CTACAGATCCATGATACCATGAAGGTAAAGCGCTATTTGTAATATAATAATCTGAGCATGGGTTGTACTTAATAGCCTTAGCATGGGCTGTACTTAATAGCTGGTTATTGATCACAATGAACACATTTTATCGCAACAATATTTGCGTCGCAACTATATTTGCGACTTAGGTTGGAAAAAAAGAGTTCATACTACAATACAAGCTTTGCTTTTGTAAAGATCATTTATAAATCATTAATTAAGATATATTTCGTGCATATTTCAGTTAGAGTTTTCAATTTTCTTCGAAAAATGAGGAATATTTCAGAATAGTTCCTGTGGACACCTTTAAATAGCAATCAGAGTTGAAGAACATCACTTGGTTTAAATTTGCCTTGATATCAAAGTTTTTGGCGTTGATAGGACCAGTAGCGTTCAGATCCTCCTCAAGTTTAACCCATTCGAATGAGCAAGTATCCAAACAACACACAACAAGAACCAACCCATCGGAGGTCTTTTCAATTGTTGCAAAATCAGTTTTCGGTAATTGAAATGGTGGAAGGGATTTTGATTTGACTTTCTTAGAGTTATAGCTTACATGACCACATATTATGCTGTTTTCCTTTTCAATTAAACAGAAGAAAAGTTGAGAATTTGATAGTCGCATTGACGAAAGGTTTCTTTTCGTCTAAAGATCGCTGCAAGTGATCCTCGAGTATCTTGCAAGTTTTTAACATTGTGTAACAAACTGTTCTTCCATCCACTTTTACAAAACTCACTACGTTTTCTTCGAAACAGCGCGTTTCTACGCTTAATGTTTCCCGATTGCCACAGCTTGTTACACGGGTAACTTCTGTTTCATTACTTCTAACATATACTCCATCGAAACTTGAAACGACCTGAAAAAAATCTTCTTTCGCCGTTACTTGTACCTGGGATGTTTTGTCTGTAGTTATGTCGTGAATTTCTAGGAGGGCACTATGCCCTCTTATCGGAAAAGAGGCGATAGAAAAAAAGTTTGCTGATTTTGCCAGGAAAACCTTGGAATTATTGATTGTTCGGTACACTTCAGGCTGTCGGTAAGCATTTGTTGAAGACTTTTGAGTCAGGGACTTCAATTTGGTCATAAATTCATCCACAATTTCTTTCATTTTACATCTGAAATTGTGTTCTTCAGACTGCATTTCCTTCCGCAACTGAACAAGATCATCGTGAATCGGAGGCATATCGTAGGAATATGATCGAACTTTGCCGGGTAAGACTACAGTCTTTTGCACCAAAACCATTACAACTATAGCTGTATCTGATTCGCCCAACAAGTTTCTCAGCTGAGTTTGCTCAGATTCCAAGCTTTTCACTTCGGAATGTATCTTTTGACTGGATTCTGCCAAAATGTTCGACAATTTTCCAAGTACTTGATTTTGATTCTCGGAGGCTTTAACGCTATCGTTGATGATTTCGCCCATCATTTTTTGCAAATTTGCAGAAAGTGTATCAGGCTCGTACGATGCTCGAAACTCTTCAAACTTCGAACAATGCTCTTTCAGTTCATCTGCAGCCAGAGCAACCGGCTTATAACATTCGTCTATTTTCCCCAACTCTTCGTGTATAGACTTTTTAATTTCCACGGCTTTTCCTTCCACACTAGTTATCGGATGTTGTTGGGTCAAATGTTCTTTTGTGCATCTGATACATAGAGTTTCGCAGCATTTCAAACAAAAACATTCAATAAGAAGTTTATGTTTATCACAGAGGATCACAGCATTACCTTTGCTGTCTTTTACTTCGTGACTTTTCCTTGTATGACAAGCAATGCACAAATTGCAGAAAACTGAAGCGCTTTTGATTTCTGTTTTGTCATTTTCATCCGGACAAGTCATGCACTTGAATTGCAAGCTTGGTTCATCGACGACAATGTCACAACTTCTGCAGAGTTTGTGACTGAAAAGACCGCCTTCACTATCCATCTTCGATCAATTCAACTCTTAAACATTTGTCGAACAATTCATGTAAAATTCAATTTACTGTACATTTTAGGCATGTATTCATCTAAACTTTTCTTCAAGCCAGAAGAGTTGACCCGCATACAACAATTTGCTGCTAGGAGATCAATAAACCAGTTTATGTTATATGATTGAAAATAAAAAATTTCGCCCTGTTAACAAGACAGTTTTATGCGTTAGTCTGATTAGCAAAACTTTTCAGACTTGTTTTTATCGACACTATAACTTTTGTAACCCCATTCACGACAAATGAAGCTATTAAATTGCCACCTACGCAGTTTTCTTCAGGTATCAAAAATAAAACGGAAAAAACCCACCTTATATCATAGTTATTTCCCTCTTTGTAAATCACAAAAAAAACTTAAAACCTTCAGGTGATGTTTCTCAGGCTAACTGTAGAGCGAGAAGCAAATAAGTTGGACCAATTTTCTTAAAACCCAAGATGAAATTTTCCAAATTTGCAATTTATATCTGAATCACAACTGAAAAAACTCCCATACAGTCACTATAGTCTATTATCAAGGAATTTTGTTTGTGGCACCTGAGAACGTGGGAAAATCTAAAGGAAATACAACAGCGTGGACTAAGACTTCGGTCCGAAATTTTGATCACCAAGATGGGCACCTCTTTTCAGCGAAGTGCATTGCGTATCATTCTGCTATATTACTCACGGTTGGAACATCCTCATTCATCTTTTGAGGAGGTTCACCATTTTAGATAACTTATCAAGAAGAATTATTGAAAAAAAAAATCGCGAATATACCACAAAGTTCAACATGCACTTCTTAAATAGAAGCAAAATATGCAAAAGGAACTCAAAAACGGCAAAAAATAAACCAAATCTACTCCAAAATTAAAACATAGCTAACAGACAGCTGAAAAAGAGTCAATGAATGCAAGGAAACAGGAAAAAAAAACAACTGATTTGTTTTTGAAACAAAACTTCAACTTTCAAAAAACGTACAAAATGGCTTAAGGCTCTTTGTATCTTAACAATAATTTATGATTGACACTTTTTGAAAATAAAACCAAATGTAGCAGAACTGGATCACTCTGTTAATTTAAGATTCCGCTGGGAAAACTTGAAATTAAATTCCACTTTTGAAACTAGAAGTCTTCAATGTTTACGCCCCATTTCCGCTTTCGTATTTCGAGAACGCATTAGCCTAGCTTTTAGCAAATTAATTTGAAATGAACTCAAAAAGTGCAAAATAACCTAAGTGCATTCATAGATGCATTAGTATGTTTGAAGGCACTTTCGTAGTTATTAGAGCATTTTAATACTTTGCCCAAAGCACCAAGACCTATATAAGAGTCTCCACTATGTTCACTGACTCTTAAAAACTTAGTTATACGTGTTTCAAACTCAGACCTACGGCCATAGAGTCACGTGTTCTAACACTCGAGCCATAGCGACTTGAGTTATACTACGTTCTCGCATAAATTATTAAATATCGGGAATTAAAGAAAGCACTATGATAAAGTGGATATAGTTAGATCATATGCTGTGTAATAATGGAAGATCTTTTGCCCGCAACCCTCCCACGCACTTGGAAAACTTTCCTGAAAAACAATGTAACAATACCCGAATAACTATCACAAACCATAGTCAACATTTGCAAGAGTCAATGAACTCAAGTAAACAAAAAATACTGGCTTGTTTTTTTTTCGAAATTCCAAAAAAAATGCTTTAAAGCTCTTTGAGTTTCCATACCAAGTTAAGGCTGCTATTTTTTCAAAAAATTAACCCAATTTTGAGAAACCTGGATCAATAGGTAAAACTTTTATTCCGCTGGGAAATCTGATTAAAAAAACTACTCGAAACTAGAAATTCATCACGTTGTCCGGGACCTTTACGCTTTAGGTGTTCAACGGTGAAGTTTGCCTTCACTGTTACAAAGGAAATGAACTGAACTTCAGAAGAAATCAAAAGTCAAACCGCAAAAATTCAAATTTAGCCTGAACAAATTTAAAGACTTCCTGAAAAAAAAACGAAAAAAGCATCATCGCGACCTATATAAGAAATTGAACTACGTTTATCGACTCTTAAAAGCTCACGAAACATATTATGATTGCCCTTTTTAAAACTTCGCATTTGTACTTTTAAATGCTTGTGAAATTTTCATAAATCACGAGGTGAAGCTGCGCTTCGCAAACATTAGAGAGAAAACGCCGAAAAAGCAGCTCTATTAAAGCGAAAGAAAAGTATAAATTAGCCTGGAATTAGAAAAGCTAACCTGCAACCTCGAGATTTGGAATCTCACCCTAAGCCACGGAAAGAATCGACAAACACTTGCCACAATCGGCAAACACATAATTCAATCGGCCACAAATAAAGCAGAGAACAGATGCTATGAAATGTCCAATGCCACATATCGTGATTAAGATTATAGGGTAATTGTCACCATATGAGCACTTTTGTTTGCGAGTTAAGTTGGAAAAAAGAAGAGTCCTACTAATAAACCACGCCCGCTATATCGCTAGTGTAAACACACTTTTCTGAGAGTTAGGTTCAAACAAGTAAAATCGTTGTGATCAGCAATTGTGTAAAAATTTGCAACCTAGCTTCGTTCCTGCCACACTGATAAACAATTAATCATATTACGCCACAAAAATGCATTTTAATAATCAGATTTGAAGAAAACGGAATATTTATGCTCGGTGTGGTTTTTTTTTATTCAGTTAATTTACGCCGAACGAAATAGTAGTTTTCAACAAAATATTTTTTACCATATTGAAGATATTGAACTCCTGAGATTAAATACAAAAAGATATTTTACCTCCGCTTATTTTTTGTCAAGTTCTGGGGGTTTGAAAATCTATTTAATCTAAATCAGGTATCAATTGAAAAAAAAATCCGGATATTTTTGTTCCGACAGTTTTTTAAGAAAATGACGGAATATTTGTGCTCGGGGTGGTTTTCTTTCTCCAGACAAGTTTCACTTTTTAACTACATTGTTCCGCCACGAAAATGCATATTAATTCAACTATTGTTGTATTCATAACACTGGTAAAAAATACGGCATTCAAAGCGATTAATTTGTAGGTAAACTTTAAAGCATAAATGGAAATTTATTTATCGCCAGGTAATATAATTGGAAACCACATTAAACATATTGGAATATTCATTAAAAACAGTTCGCATAACAAGCATTCAAACTTCTTGTCACCATATAATAAATTTAATTTATTTTCGAAGTACAGAATTGGTTATCTCTTTTCGGCTACATGGTCGCTTCATTCAGTCAGCTTGGTTTCTGTGAACTCTTTCGATCTAATTTAGTTTTTAGCTAAGGGACTTGTTTGAGACTTCCCCGCCCAAAAATGAATCTGAGAGCTCTGTCCACAATCCAGCACCCGACTGCATCTACGACTATCACCATCACTATTGAATCGCGAAGCTAGAAAAAAATGAATGAAATGTTCTAAATGCGGGTTCCAACTTTTCACCCCATGTCTCATTATTTCAGCCTCCTTTGCTAACAGTACTAAAGCAGAATCTTTTTCAAATACCTTAAGATAATCAGATCAATATCAATTTGTCTTTTCATTTTACGAAACAATTAATGGAAATAAGAAATCTGCCACCAATAAACGCTTTGTATGTTTTTGGCAGTACATTTGATTTAAATCTGAATACCACAGACGCAATTTCTGGACTGAAAACTCGTTAAAATAAAGTTTGATTGAAATTTTGTAATTGACCAATGACAGCCACACTTTTCAAATACCATGTAGATCTGAGATTCGTTGATTTTATCTAAATCAGGTATCAATTGAAAAAAAATCAGTATCTGTGTTCCGACAATTTTTGAAGAAAATGACGGAATAATTGTGCTCGGGGTGGTTTTCTTTCTCCAGAAAAGTTTCACTTTTTAGCTAGCCATTTTTGACGGATATTTTTAAATATCAGATGAAAGTTATTGTTGTCCTGAGCTCAAACTTTAAGATATTTCACCTGTGATTATTTATTGGAAAGTAATGGGAGCTTAAAGGAAGCAAAGTTGGCCAATTTGGGATAATTAAAGCGCGATATATTTCGTTCTGTTGAAGCGTAAGCGGAAATTAATCCTTCTTTGGTCCAAATTGAATTGAGGCAAGCTATTTGCTCCATTTAACACTTAAGAATATTCAAAATCAAAAACTTTGTACTTCACATGATTTTGATTTTTTTCGAAAAATTCATCTATTTTTCTAAAAGCTAAAACTACTACATATACCTTAAAATACAGTCAGAACATTCGGGGCTTCGTCCTGATCCGAATAGTATTGTTTCGCACTATTAGGCGACGATTGCAAGTAGGGATTAATTGTTCCGACTTCCGAGAAAACGGAATATTTATGCTCGGTGTGGTTTTTTTATTCAGTCAATTTTCGCCGATCGAAATAGTAATTTTCAACAAAACATTTTTTTCTACCATATTGAAGGTATCGAACTCCTGAGATCAAATACAAAAAAAATATATTCTACCTCCGATTATTTTTTGTTAAGTTCTGGTGGTTTGAAAATTGCCAAATTGGCCATGTTCTGGACCTTCAATATGCGCGCTTTGAAGAATTTATTCATATTGCTGAGAACGTAACGCGAATTATTCATGCGTGGCAAATTATCCCGCATAAATTGAACTGAGGCTAGCTAATCGGTCGTATTAGTTTTGTACGACTCAAAATTTCACACTTTGATATTGTCCAAAATTTATGCGTTTTCAATAATTTCGTTTCCCAATAACGATTCGATATGAATTAAGGGACAGTCGGAACATTCAGGGCTTTGCCCTGATATACGAGCAGTCTTGTTGTCTTCTAAAATTGCAAGATTCTCGTCTTATTGCGTCTTAATGCTTATGCGATTCAATAATTATCTTCAAATTTTGTCCACAATAGCTAAAACTACCAAATGAGTAGAACTGAGCATTGCTTTGGAGCTTTTAGGCGGCAATTTTGAGTTAGTAATAACTGTCTTCCAAACGTAGCATAGCCTTATTGGTTCTATCTGCTTAAAGCGACTCCAGCATCTGGTTCAAGATTAAAGCGCAGTTGTTAAAATTGTCTCACATACCTGATCTGAGAAGGGAACTAGTTGAAACCACTCTGTCAATTCTGGCATCATGTTAGCAGCTAGTAGCAATACTACTCCGAATGTAGTCAACAAGGAGACTCTCAATGGTTTGTGTGACCATAGGGACTGCATGAATGGCTCCCCTCTATAGTTCACAGCGAAAGTGGACACTTGCATTCCCATGTCCACTAGGTACACTACACTGTTCAGTGTGTTCGGTTCGAACTCTTTTTCTAGGTCCACAAATTCGCCCTCACTATAAACAAACATAAATAACATAACGTAAAATTCCTATAGTTTTGTTTTCTTTGACAAAAATTGAACACAAAAATTGAACAGACAGAAATACTAAGTCGCACATGGCAAAAATTTCACAATTTCGTTTGAAACAAATTCAACGTGTTCAGTAGATTTGCGAAATGTTCTTGGTTACTGTTTCCTTTACTTAATTTATTGTTCTAAGATGTTTCTACGCAAGGGATAGTTTGTCCTTTTACCATGATGAAACGCTAGATGATTATCATCTGTCAGACTCAGGTCCTCGAAAAAAAAGACATTTGCATCTAAATAATTAGGCGCAATGTAAGAATAACTAGTGAACAAAAAAAAACAGGAACTAACGCGAGGGGCGGCTGTTCTGATTTCACAGCTTTCACTACAAAAAGCAAGCTCGAAAAATGGATGCAAAACTGGGCGAACACTGTCATTATGGTGTAGAAATTAAATATATTCGGCAATGGTCTCTCTTTCGACAACACTTTCAGGGGCTGAGATCTTGACACAAACAGAAAACACCCCGCAAGTAGCAGTCCCTGTAACGTCGCTTGGGTATCTGAGAACTTCACGCCGTCTAGGTACAGCACACTTTGACCATAAGCGAAGATCAGAGAATTCAAGGCCAGGATCTTAAACATCTGAAGTGTCGTAACTAGCGTGCATCTGCCTTGTTTCATAATGTGACAGACGCTTTCAATTGAAGAGGCTTTGGAGGTGAAGGGTGAAGCGATCGACGCGTCGCCCAGTTTGACAATCGTAGGTCCTTCCGCTTCCTCGAGATCTTTCATCAGTTTTTGAGCTAAGGGCTATAACAAAAAAAATAATCACCATTGAAGTTATTGTTGAAATTGATGCAGTGAGTTAGTATATATATCGTGACACAGAAGAATTACGCAACACATACAAGACTCTCGTCGGATTTTTTTCGGATTTAATTATTCGGATATTTGAAATTCGGATTTTTTGACACATTCTTCTAACCTTTTAATCTATCTTTCAATGTTATATCCTCAAAAGAATCGACAGAAACTTTGAATAACAACATTGATTGATTGATAGAAGTTTTCATGGACTAGCAATAACTCACCGATTTCTTCAACTGAAATCAAAACTCATTTGATGAGACGAAAAAATTTAGCCACCTTTCAAATTATACTTGTTACTGGAAAAACACACCCAAAAATTAAAAAAAAATCACATCATTCATTAACACTTAAGAACTTTTTGATCCTTAAATTTATGTATGAAAGTAAATTTTGCTGATAAAACTAATAAAATATTTATAAGCCTACAGATTTTTTCATGATTTCATCTGCTCTCGCTTGTGCTCTGGCATGTTGGGCTGCTCTGCTATTTGCACTAGGCGCCACAGCTCCTCCTCGAGACTTGATGGCGAAAGGAGTAGGCGAAGAAGCGCTGTGTTGTCCTATTGAGGCGGTGCCATTTTGAGAAGAAGCTGCAAGTGACATGTCCATGAGCGGGTTGTTTGACTTCTAAAAAAGCATGTCTACTTTAAGGGGTAGTTGAGAAATGGTTAAGTCTTCGCTGGATCATGCTCGGTTTTAAAGTCTAAGCTCGTTTTCATCAACCTTAGATTATCGAAGACGATGTACGACCCAACTCAACAAAACAGTAAGAACTGTGTAGTGGTAAATAAGTGACTAATTTAGTATTTTTCAATTTAAGGTCTTGATTTTTTTCGATAACTTTCAATTTTTAATTCTCTTACCTTGGCAGGAAGCTTGAGAGGCTTGGACAACAGTGCTACTCCTAAAACACACAGAACGGTTTACACCAACAAATCGGGAAAATATACTCTTCAATTCTGTCGTTGAAAAACCCGTTACAATCAGGCTTCTCCGATAAGCTTCATATCAAGACCAGAAAACATGTTAGAGTAGGATCATCGGATAAATCATTTTGTTGAAAAACAAAGAAATCAAAACATAAAGAAATACACCAAAAAACGTTTAAAACACCACGAAAAAAAAATCTCATCACATCCAAAAAAAACAGAAACTTATTAAATAGCCTAATTGTTGTGATAAACCTAATTGTTGTGATACACCTAATTGTTATCACACAAAGCCTAATTGTTGTGATAAACTTATTAAATAGTTTCAGGGATGAGCCAGCGAGGCATGGTGTTGTAAGCAATATTTACATCAGAAATCTCGTGAAATTCAAAAATTCAAATGATGGAAGATTGGAGAAACTGCCAAAACCCAATCCCCAGTAATGGTCAGTGCAGCGTGTGTGATGACTCAGGCGACGCATCACCGTGGTTATCTTGTGTTCTTTGCAATAGACGGGCACATATGGAATGTCTTGGTCTTGGACCCGGCAGTGGAATAATCACAGGGAACATAGCATGGTCTTGTACAAGTTGTGGGCCTCTCACGAAGCTAAGTACCCTTTTATCTTGCTTTAATGAAATGGAAAAGAAACTAGCTAATGTGATGAAACTCAGCGACAAAGTTAATAGGATGGATAAAGAAATCCATTATATGAAAACTAACGCGGGAAGAGAATCCCGTAATTACAGCCAAGTTGCTGCTGGTAATGCACAAACCCATGTAAATTATGATGACCAGATCACAATTCAGAAGCCTGATTTTTCGTTTATCAAAGGCATGCATCTCAGAAATGACAGTGTATCGTCGAACAGTTCTAGTCGAAAAAAGCGAACCCGAGTGGAAACGCCCGAAAAAAAGCCAGCGGCAATTATTGGAACGTCTGACTCACAAACATTTTTAGGGGTATCAAAACCACCACCTAGAAGACACATTTATGTTGGTCGTATTAGCAAAGATTATACCGCAGATGATGTTATTAAATGGTGCAATGAAAAAGATGCGCCACTGCCACATATCAGGGAAGTTTCAATAGAAAACGGCTCTTTCAGAAGTTTTCACTGCGTTTTCTCCGGAGATTGTTGTGAAAAAATCGAAAATTCTGCTTTCTGGCCGAAAAATGTTGTGGTCAAAAGATTTTTCTTAAACGATAATGCTAAGACATGGTTGAAGTCTCTATCAAACAAGCCTTGACTATCAAAAGCTTTGAAGACTTCAATTTCCATTAGCTTATTGAATGCGCGCTCGGTCAGAAATAAAACATCAGATATTGCTTCAATACTTCTATCAAATGATTTTGATTTATTTTTTCTTACGGAAACGTGGCTGAAACATGATAGCAATGAAAATTATTTACTACGTCAGTGTTGTTCTAATTTGGAAATTTATGACACTTTTAGCCAGCCAAGAAATTACTCTAATGGAGGTGGAATAGCATTGATTTGTAGATGCGACTTCAAAGTCAACCAGTTATCATCGCTGAATCAAGCAGAGATAGAGCTAAAAGTTCTCGAAATATCCTTTCCGACCTGTCGTATATTATTCATCATCTGCTATAGGCCTCCATGTGGAGATTTTTTGATTTTTAAAGAACAATTATACAACATGATTTACGAATTTTCCACTGATTATGATTTATGTGTGATATTGGGTGATTTCAACGTACACTTCTTTAATAATAAAGACAATCGTTATTTACTCCTCCAAGATGTCTTTCAAGAGTTTGGTCTGAAACAAATTATAAACGAACCAACACATTGCTCTGGAAATATTTTAGACTTAGTAGCTATTACAGATGAAATAAAAATATCGCAATTAAACGTGATCCCTTTCGAAGTTTCTCATCATGTTATATCTTTTCTACTACCAATAAGTGTTTCAATGGCAGAACGAATTTTAAAACCTTACAGAAAATGGGACAATATTGATCTTATAGAATTAGCTGGAGAAATAGAAAGTAACTTACTGATCAATCAAATCAGTTTCGAAGAAGACAACACAGCCATGAAGGATTTCTCTGACATAGTAGCTGAAGTTACAATTGATATTAACCCAACTAAATTGCGGCTTTTTAGAAAACGTAACTGCAAATTTTTTGACCATGACTTGCAAACGATGAAGCAAAAGCGCCGTAAGTTTGAACGAATCTTCAATAAAGTTCCTTCACTGGAAAATAGATTGACTCTGAAGAATGCCAATCTGGATTGTCGCAAGTTATTTAAAGAGAAACAGTTTGATTACTACAATAGGGAAGTAAATCGTATCAAATCACAACCAAAGAGCTCATACAGTTCTTTCAATGAAGTTTTAGGAATTGATACGAGATCAGTGCTACCCAATAATTGTTCTTTATCAGATCTGAGAGATAAATTTAATACTTTCTTTATTGAGAAAATTGAGAGCGTCATTGCTTCATTGAAACCACATAACTTTTATTACCGTGACTCAAATGAAACATTAGCCAGAGACAAAGTGAAATTTAGTTCGTTCAATAAAGTTACTTGTGATGATATTTATAAAGCAATTGCATCCATGTCCAATGCTACCAGCCCCTGCGATTCTATGCCAACTGAGATTATGAAGAAAATTCAAAAAAGCTGGGTGCCAACTTTTACTGGCATACTGAACAATTGTTTACAGAAAGGACATTTCCCAAATGTTTTCAAGTTAGGCATTATAAGTCCTTTTCTGAAGAAAGCAACACTTGATAGAAATCTGTTGTCTTCTTATAGACCTGTTACCCAATTATCTTTTTCATCCAAAATTTTTGAGAGAGTAATCTCGATTCAATTGCTGCATCTTTTAAACAAGCTTGATATTCTCGATCCTTATCAATCAGCGTATCGTAAAGGATATAGCACTGAATTAGCACTTTTGAACACCAGTAATGACATTCTTAACAAGCTTTCAAGCAAATGCCCCGTAATCTTAGTGGCTCTTGACTTAAGTGCTGCCTTTGACACGGTCTCTCATGATATTTTATTACGCCGTCTGGAAAATTACACTGGACTTGAAGGAGCAGCTCTTGAACTTTGTAAGTCTTATTTATGTGGTCGCTACCAGGCAGTTAAAATTAGTAGCTGGTTATCTTCGACTGAATCTGTGAAAAATGGAGTTCCCCAAGGATCCATATTAGGTCCTCTATTTTTTAGCATTTACCTTTTACCTCTACGGTCTCTCTTTTTATCTCTTGATTTGAATTATCAAATTTATGCGGATGATGGTTTAATTTACTTATCAGCCGCAGATTTAAATAGTTCAGTTGATCATCTGAATGCAAGTCTAGTCAAAATTACCAAATGGTTTGAAATGAATAATTTGAAAATAAATTCTGATAAAACAGAAGTTCTGTTTGTTGACAGGAAGGTTGCAAGAGAAATAAACATACGTGTTAATAATGAAATTGTCAAATCAGAAGACACACTTACAGTGCTTGGTTTTATTTTTGATTCCAAATTTAACTTACAACGACAAATCAATTCTGTTTGTAGCTCGGCCTATTACATTCTGCGGAAACTTTTTAGCATAAAAGCTTTCCTTTCTTTTGAGACCCGACATTTACTCTGTCAATCCCTTATACTTAGCCGCCTTGACTATTGCAATAGCCTATATTTTGGTTTACCCAATTACCTTTTGATGAAACTGCAGAAAATACAAAATTCAGCTGGACGATTTGTATTCCAACTCAAGAAAGGAACACCAACCAGCCCTTATCTACATGATCTACATTGGTTACCAGTCTCGAAGCGAATTGAGTTCAAATTACTGTGCATTGTTTTCAAAGTACTAAACAGAAACTATTTATGTCCAGCATTTTTAAGAGACATACTCAAATTAAAACAAAATAGCTATAGCTTGCGTGATGGTCCAAAATTGGTAGTACCCAGAGTTAATTCAAGTTTAGGTAGAAGATCTTTCAGCTATTGTGGAGCAAAACTTTGGAATTCACTGCCCCAGAAAATGCGAGAAGAAACGGACTTTCAGTTATTCAGAAAATCACTGAAGACACATTTATTCAGATCTCATTATTACACATCGGCCACGTACTAAGGAGACAGACAAAACAAACACCTTTGAGTACCAAAAAGGGTGTATAATCCAGCAATGATGATGATGATGATGATGATCGTAAACGCTCCCACACAAAACCAAAAATATAAACTTCGGCACATTAAAAATTCCCAAGTTATCTCAAAACAACAACAAAGAGGTAAACCTGGTTAAATATTATTTAATTGAGTGAAAGAAAAGCTTACCACAATGGGCGTGTTTAAGTGCTCCCACATCGTTGGTGCCATCTCCACACATGAGAGTGTGGTAGCCTAGTTGTTTCAACAGAGTCACTACATCCTCCTTCTGCTGTGGAGACACACGTGCAAACACATTCACTCTCGGGACCCATCTACTCAACAAATGGCCCACTGATGATTTACTATCGCCTGAAAAACATGATTATAGTTCACAATCTTAATACTATTTAAGCCAATGTTGAACAGTTTCTAGAGGAGATGCGCCAGAGGCCAAATAAGTAGCATAGCCGAAACAGAGTTGGAAAGAAGTCAATCAACTCAAAGGAAGCAAAAAGAGGGTTTAATTTTTAGTTTTCGCGAAAAAAAAATCGAAGAAAATAATCAACTTTGGTTTCAAAGGAAAAAATATCAAACTTTTTTGAGTTTCCAAAAAATTATTCGATTGACACTTGAGAAAACTGGGTCAAGAAGAATTTTTTTTTAATCCGTTGAAAATTCTATTAACTAAGAGTTATTTTTGAAACCAGAAGTAACTCGCGCCGTTGTCACTTTTTTGGAATGCGTGAATTGCCTTCATTTTAGCAAATAAATTTGAATTAGACTTAAAACGAACTCAAAAGTCAAACTGCGAAAAACTAAAAGCAAACAAAAGACACTAGACCAAAATAAGTGATAAATCAATTAGTTAGTAATTGACAGTAACAATTTCATACAAGATAAATAACAAAACAGCCAAAAAATTTCAATAAGAAAACCTTATTTCAGGTAGTTTTTTTTCTCAACAAACAAAAAAAAGAATCTCAAACCTGCACTGAGATCCTGTAGAAACTGCAATCCAGTCCCAGTCAAGCAGAAACTGTACTTTTTCCACCAATTTCGGCCTCCACTCTTAATAGCATTTCTCTCCTCTTTTTCCAAAGGCAACATGTGTTTCCCATCGATCGAAGTCCACGCCCACTTATCACCTTCCAGTTTCGATTCCAGGGATCCACTTTTCTCGTATTCCGGAGATCCGTTTCGTTTATTTTCTACCGCTCTTAGAACCATTATTTTGCTGTTATCCTTTTTAGCCGGATCTACAATCTTCAACTCTTTCGCTACATGACAAGCAGTTAGCTCATTGTCACCAGTAATCATTGCTACATGATGAGAAGATTCTAGAATATCTTTCATCACAGATTTACTGTCCGATTTCAGAGGACAAGATACCACGAGGAATCCACCGAATTCAAGTTTCGATTCCAAATCGGATCTCGTGAGTTGTTTTGCAGATGAAATCGGAGTGTTTTGAATGTATTTGTAGCCAACTGCCAGAACTCTCGACCCACTTAGAGTCATGTCATGATAGACTTGGTCGTAATAGTCGGGTGCAGATTCGAACTGAAAAAAAAATCGCTTTGCTAAGTTATGTATATCTGTGATTTCTTGTGTTTATCTGATATGTTTAGAGAAATAAGTACTTCTACTTTATTAGCGTATAATAATTAAATTTTCACAGCTTTCGCTAGTTTTAAATCCCTAAATATAGAAAGCAACTACTCTCTAAAGGCGACTTCCCTCATGATGGAGTCACATTATGATTGAAGGTTGTTTTCAGTTGATTTTAGCCAATCAGACTCGAGGAAAAAAAACTTTTGCGAGAAACAAAACACTCATATACCAAATTTCTTCCCCATTTTAAGCGGTTTGAATAACAAAATTATCTTGAGATGCAAATGAAACAAAAAAACTCTACCATGTTCTTGAGAGTTTCAGGTGCTCCTTTCACCGCAGCCAGCAGCATAGTCTCGCCAGTGTAGGGCGATGTCTGGGCGGCCAGAGTGGTCATCCTCTTCAGTTTGGAGGTGAAGTGGAATCGGGTCACTATCTGCCATGGCCTCATATCCTTGTCCTTAGAAGAGGCACCGGTCGGAGGAGACACAACGTCATCTGAAACATCGCCACGCCATAGTCACCAACGCAGGCTGTATTTATGACATTTGAAATCTTACTTGGATACAAGGGGGCGGATCTTACAATCTACCGCCCGCATTGGAAGAGAAACTTTTTCACTGCTGTAATCAATCGTGAAACCATGATTGCCTTAGCATGAAATATACAAATCAATCCGAAAAAAAACTTTTTACGTCCTTTTTAAGTGATCGTGTTTCAAGATACAAACTAGAAAAGCTAATTATTTCATAGTATTTAAGATTATATCAACAGTTACATTCATACATTTTCAAATTTTTTATTTAAACTGAAATTCCAATTTAATTCTCTTTCATCTCAATGAAATTAAAACACATTTTTAAGACGTTGTTTCAAGTATTTGTTCACTTTTTTGATATCATTTGCACTTGTTTGGAAAAACAAATTGTTTCTTCCGTATTCTTTTCTTACTTTTGGACAATGTATACTGTATTGCACTGAATGTCACTTTCTCCAGGGGGTCTCCTATCAACGTGCTGCTCGAGTCCTTGCCACCCGACTTCCCCCCACTCCCCGAAGCACCATCTGAAGTCGAAGACGAGGCCGCTGATACTGCTGATGATGAAGTCATGTGGCCCAGACTGTGACAGGTGGCTAGTGCTTCCAGGGTAGCTTTTGGCACTTCCGAAATTGGAGTTACAGAACTCTCCTAAAACCATGACATGGCAAATAAGTCAGATTGAAAATCTAAATTGAAACAGGCACCACATTCAAAATAGTTAAAATGTTCTCATCTGAGATATGCATGAGCAAGAAATGCACGAATCAGCGTTTGTACAATTCAATCTCCTAATTTAGTCTGATTTAACTGAGTACTTACATCGCGAGTCGAAGGATCGTTATCGTCATTCCTGTGACTGCCTTCTTTTAAACCAGCCACGCCTTCCACTATAAACGTATCAGACGTCAAAGTTCCCGTTTTATCAAAGCAGCAGAAATCAATCTTCCCTGCAAACGGGATCCTAAAAGGCTCTGTGCAAAATATGGCCACTTTTGCCAATGCTATCATCGAGTTATTAACAGCCAGAGACAACTCAATCGGCAACTCTGGCGGAACTACTGATGTTATGATTAGAGTACATTCCAATAGGAGTTTGTATCGACTTCTGGCGGGGTTTTTGGTGCCCTGGATCCATACGTAGCTGGATGCTGATACTGCGAAGATGAGGAGAAAGAGGATGAAGAAGAAGGTCTCTAAGTTGTTGGCTGTGATTCTTTTCACTCCAAACAGAATTGTTCTGAGAAGTTTACCCTTTAAACATATATTACAATGAAACCGAGAGTAACATTTGGGGTAAGAATTACAAAATAAGTTAGCATCCTTGTCTTTTAATAGACAAAATTTACAGATGCATCCTCGATCCTACTACATAATTTGAATCAAAATTGCTTAGCGGTGCATATTAAATACTCGATTATGATTGGCTCAAAATTCCAACTTGAAACCAAGTTAACACCTCACCACCGAAAAAGCTTTGGGAGTAACCAAAAATTGAATTGTTTAAGACTACTTAAGATGGAGTTAAGGGATGAGCAGCCTAGTCTCCTTCGAACATTTTGGATACAGAAACCACCAAATGAGGTTTAATTCAATATTTTCGCTGGTCGAGGGCTTGGCGCTATAATCAGCTTAGTACTCCAAATAACATTTGCCTCTTATAACGCCTTTGTCCGAACTCCTAAAATTTCCATCCTATAATTTACGATCCAGCAAGGTCCCATCCTTTCATTAACACTCAGAAGCCAATGACTACATAGCTCATTCATACCTGAGATGTATTGAAACCAGTCCTCAACACGAAGCACATACATCCGTGATCTGGAGGTGCCTTAATACTGGCCAGTCCTCCGTACAGGGCAGACGACGAAATATTATCACTGCCACTCCCTGCCGATGAAGACTTCGAACTGAAACTACTCTGAAGCACTTTGGTTCCCCCGTATATTACATGTAGTTTTCCATGTGCGGCAAGGTTGAAGTGAGATTCGTCGGTTGCGATCGAGTTCGAATCGGACGATGAAGACGAAGATTGTTTGAGACTGAGTAGCTGGTCGCTGATTGGTTCTTTCATCTGAGGAACTGACTCGCCTAGAAAAGAGAAGAGAAAAATTTAGCCCCTCGCCGAAAGTTGACTTTCAAAAGCAAAAACTCGGAAAAATAACAGGCTATGACAAAAATTAAGCTTGTTTGTTAGCAAAACTGTGAATCCTGCGTAGCTATAACCAGGGGCAGATTTAGGGGGAAGTGGTCAAGAGCCCCATAGTCTCCCTTTTTAACACTGAGGCGATATCTGAGCTTCACACAATTGCAAGATAAAATGCTATGATTCATACGAAAAAAAAATTAATAACATTATTTTTTTGAAGAAATCGTCGGCTAAAAAATCAAGACCAGGATTCAGGCTACATAAACCCTTGAATTTCTTTCTCATAACTAATTTTGAAAATTGATAATTTGGGTGTTTTTGGAGAGTTCGAGAAAAATTTTTCAAAATTCCTTGCTAAGTCCTATATCAGGCCCAAATTTAAGCATTAGCTCCGTGAAGCCATTCTAGTCTAAACCACAGTAAATACCAACAAAAACGACTTGTAATTTTAGTTTGGACATCAAACTAACCAGTCAACATCGCCTCATCTACAATACATTGGCCTCTGAGTAGCAGCAGATCACACGATACTGAACCTCCACTTGAAGCGGCAGCGATAGTTGGTTTCCTGCACCCCATTCCTGAGGATGGAGCACTAGTCGAATTGATTGCGCTATTGGACACTGATATTATGTCCCCTGATACTATTTCATTGCTGAGCACTATGTCCCATTTCTTGTTGCGGTAGACATACACCTGCAACACAAACTCTGCAGTTCAATTCAGATAGACTCACTTACACAATTTGAAATCAATTAACCAAAATTTTTACCGACCAATTTGGCATTTTTTCAGGGCAGAAAAAAATAAGTACAGAATACCTTTAGGTATTTCTTTACCAATAAGTAAAGAATCCTATAATGTCCATTTTAGCACATAAAATCTGCAAGTCACGCAGGAAAAAACATGGTGATATTAGTAATATAATTTAATAGATGTACGTTTAGATTATGGATACCTCCCAATTCATGTATTTATATTCAGCAAAACAAAAACGTGGAACTTTTGAGATTCGCGCCTTTTTGACGAATAAATAGGCTAAACTTTACTACTCAAATGAGTATACGTAACTTCAACAAAACCGATTGGAGGGAGGGGTCATGTGGGAAATCTGAGAATTATTTCGATGGATTTAAAAAAATTATTGGTAGTGGGGTGTTACATTTGTGGGTTTGTTGCCCATGTCTCTGATGGTGGACATGTTTTTGATCTGCTGCTGGACTAGAGTGGCCTCGAATATGACTAGCATGAAGAGAGTGAAGAGGGAGTAGTAGACTGCCTCGTCCAGACACCACAGACCCACACAGAACACCTACAGAACAAAAAAAAACAGATGGAATATGAGCCGTTTCTCGCACAAAATTTTTGACGGGGAAGGGCCGTTTTTTACTTACATTTATTTAGCTCGGCAGTTTCATATTTTTTTTTGCTCCGCCGAAACCATAGAACAACCTTCCTGCGGCATAAATTTGCGATCACATCGAAATAGTTTCATATCGAAATAGAACATGAGCGCGCGGGATTCTTTTGACGGACGGGGTTGATCGCTTTTTGAAAGTTCTCTCAATGTTTTTAGTTCAGCCATTTCAAAATTTTTCAGGTCCATCGAAACCCTAGAATGACCTGCCTGTGGCAAAAACTCTTAATCAGACACAGAGGCGGAGCGGAGTTTCGCACCACTTGCGATACGTCGAAAAAACAGAACGGCAGCTAGCCGAAAAAAAGGACAAAAGCCACTGATTCGAAAAACTGAAAAACCTATCGATTTTTTAAATTTGTCACAAAAGTGGTTGATTTTGACGAAAAAAACGGTAACAGAGCAGACAACACTTGGGTAGACGACAAATGACCAGAAAAAATTTGATGTAAAAATTTTGAGCTATAAAATTGTTAACTCCCATGTACCACACCTTCAAAACAAAAATGCAATTAAAAATATCTTGGCACTTCATAAGACGAATTATGAGACAAATATACAGATATAGTATCAGCCGAAACAATTTAAGACGAAGAAAACAAAAGTGACACAGAGGCGAAGCTGCGCTTTGCAAAAACTAGCGAAAACACGACAAAGCAGCTCTAGGGTTCTAAAAAGCAACAATACGCCACTAATTAGTAAAAATTCGGCGACTTCTCGGACACAAACCTACGACCTACTGCAATCTGGAATCTCACGCACTAACTACTCAGCCACAGACGCTTAGTCGATCACAAACACTAGCCACAAATAAAGCCGAGAACAGATGCTATTAAAAGTCCAATGCTACAGATCGTGATTATAGCATAGAGGCTCAGTTAGGTTAGAAAAAAGAGAAGGTTCATACTAAAACACTAGCAGCTCGCTAGCGTAAAAAAAAACAATCAGCAAAAAAATTGTTGTTTTGAAAGCAACGACAAAAACTCGAACAAAACGGCCATTTAAATTGCAGACATGTTCAAAAACCTGTTCGGGGATTCCATCAGAACAGATATGCAAACTGATTCAACTAACTTTGTTAAACCCGAAAAAAGTCCATATTCCGATTTGATAATGCTTGCTAACCGCAAGCTTAAAGATCCTGGTTGCAATTTTTTCCGACTGCCTCTGTACCCTTTGATACTACAATTTGTCAGCCTATATTTTGAAGTCAACTGCTGTCTGGTAGTTAGTACTAACGCATGCATATAAATCAGAGAGAATAAGGTCCAGTGAAAAACTCTGCATATAATGGGCCTCTAGCGCAAGCTCTCTCGGACTAGTTTTTTCTTGCCATGCTACTTTTCATGGTTTTTAGAGCTCAATTTTTACGTTTTCTGCTTCAGTTTCCGAAGCACAGCTTTGCCTGTGTTCATTTTCAGATTTTTTTTTGCAAGCAGCGATTGGGCAATTAAAAACAGGTGTCTTAACTGTTTTAGACGACTGGCTAAAACATGCATCCATTTTAATGTTCTAACGAAAAAAAAAATTGCATAATTAAAAAATTGCACCCGCTAAATTAAAGAGGGTTCAGTGAGTCTTTAATAAAGCAGGTAGCTCAAATTACGTTGCACTAAAATGTTCAATTCAATGAGCCAATTATATTGAAAAGTCTACTCGTAGTATAGAAATTGCCCAAGTCTGGTGTTCATAAATTGTTCATAAAAAATCTGTTAAAAACCTTTCAAAACACGTTTGTAAAAAATTTATTGCGTAAAACAATGCAAATAAAATGCGATTTTTTTCAGGAAAACATTAAAAGCGATGCATGTTTTAGACAGTCTTTTAAACAGTTTAAAATACCTCCGCTTTTTATTGCCCAGCCGTTGCTTGCGAAAAAAAATCTGAAAAAAAAACAAGGCGAAGGTGTCTTCGCAAACACAAGCGAGAAATGAAAATAAAAAATAAAACAAGAAAAAATTTTTAAAAGCCTTGAAAATGAAAACTTTTGCTGTCAAGGATTCGAACTAATCACCCGGAAAACGCAAGTACTCACATCTGCGACACATTCCCTCGAAAACTTACTAGCAACCAATAAAGCAGCTACACATGCTAATTAACTGCCAAAGCTCTGCAGCAAAAATCGCACCAAATATAAATAGTCACAAATTTTGCAATGGCATGCATACTTACTTTGCATGTAAGAAATTGGAAATGATGAAGCCAAATTACTTATAAAATATGCATTTCAAAAACAAAGCCAGATATATCGAGTAGGAAAAAATCTGAAATGGAGTTTTTATTCTCGTAGTTGTTTTTTTCCCAGTTCATTTGATGAACCAAAAATTCATCAACTATGTTAACTTATTGCTTATCGAGTAATCGAGTGTCAAAGCACATGCTATCAAACACCCGTAAAAGTGCCCTAAAAATGGCATCAAACTTTGCGAATCAGGTTGGTGAAAAAGTACTCGTACTATTACACTACGCTTGCTTGTATAAAAACAAGACATGCAAATACTTTTAAAAGTATTTGTATGTCTTGTTTTTATACAAGCAAGCGTAGTGTAATAGTACGAGTACTTTGATAGCACCCAATAACAGGGTTGTTGATCTCAAATTTTGTAAACTTTTTGTATATCTAAATTAAAATGACATAAAAAACGTCACATCTCAAAAATTAAAAGCAGTTGAGCAGTCGCAAGATTTGTAACTCCTGAGAGTACTCTCACATTACCCAACTACAGCGTTGGGAATCTCATATTTCGAGAAAACTTTTTGGTTTCTGATTTTGCGTGATAAACAAAAAAAAACTTAAAATCACGAAGACGAAAATGCATCCCCATTTTCTATGGTCGAACAATAAAAAAGACAACAGTAACCGGTTGTTGTGCCAGTAGAGCGGAAAACTCCGACCAAAACAATTTAAGCAGTCATAATTGGAGCCAAAACTCACAACCCCTAAGAGTACCCTGACAGAGCCTCACTAAAGAGATAGGAACTTCAATTTGGTGAAAACTTTGATATTTAAGTTCTCTGAACAATTTTAAAAAAAGATAAGCGTCAGATCTCGAAAACTAAAAGCAGTTGAGCAGTTGCATTTGAACGCAAGATTTGCAATTCTTGAGATTACTCTCACAGTAACCAACTACAGCGTTGACAATTTCAAATTTCCAGAAATTTCAAAATTAAGGTTTCTAAAAAACCAAACAAAAACGTCATATCTCGAAAACTGCAAGGATTTGAGCAGCCATATTTGGAAGCAGGATTCGCAACCCCTGAGATTATCCTGACAGCACCTAACTACAGGGTGGTTATTATCGAATTTTAAGAATTATTTTTTAAGCTCTCAGAAATTTTTTGAAAAAATGGTCTATATCGTAAACTATAAGGATTTGGGTATTCAGAATTGGAGGCCGAATTCGCATCTCCATTATTGAGTTGCTAATTTTAAACTCAGTGAATAAACACTGCATTCAAACTGGAAAATTGAAAAACATTTCTTAACCATTGCATTATACGATATTGCTTAAACGTGAAAAAAATTCTTCTTCTTCTTATTTAAACATGCAAAAAATAGTACGTTGAAAAAGCTTAAACAATGCGAGATAGTGAAGCCCGCATTTAAATATTTAATAGATAGATATTAACAATATTCCATTGCACATAGCATTCCATTGAACCAACCTGGAACACGAAAAAAGGCGCAGTGGCTCTCTCGGCCATTAAGGACTTGAATTTGGGTAGCACCATCTCCATACTGAAACAGAACAGGCGACTTCAATATACACTTAAATTTCTTTTTAAATTAAAAGTACAACAACCGGAAAACAAGTTAATTCATTTTTTTTAGTTGGAATTGTGATTTTTCGGAAACAAATTGCACTGAAACGTAACTGTGTTGACTTACTCATTTTTTCCATACTTGATCTGTGCATCTTTTAACTTCTCAACATTTTCATATCCCTTCCAGTTCGAATACGCTTTGAAACTCCAATCGACTGGAAATGAAACAGGTTCAAACTGTGCTTTACTTTCATCTTCGCATACTAGCACTGTCTTTTGAAACTCAATCCAGTGCATGTACTCATCAGATGTTCCGTTGTTATCATCCGAAGTTGGTTTGAGTCTCTTCTGAATTGGAACAAGCTCCTCGAATCCATTATTTGGAGTAGGTACAACCTTCACACATTCAGTTTGGCTCAACTTTTTAACACGATTGCACGTAACAATGCATCTTATGTGTACGCTCCAAACACAAGACAGGCATAGCAAAAGGTGTAAAATACCAAGCAAGGCGGCGCCCACAAGCCACAATTCTTCGGGAGAGAGGTTGGATATATCAGGCAGATCATTGGCCGCTTCGATTGCCAGTTTCTTTTCCTCTTCGCTCGTCAGATTCGGTTTAGATATCGAGGTAGCCTACAACAATACCACTTCAGAAAAGCTATTCTAAAAGTTATTAATTCACAAAAAATGATTTAAATAACACTAAAACTCCAACTAGGAATCTTTTTTTTGCGAAACGTGGTGAATTGCTGTCATTGTTGTTTAATCAAACTGAAACGGTTCCTTTGTTAGCCCCTATAGTTGCGAAAATGTTTGAAATTTACTTTTTTCAAAAATTCCTATGTTATACATAAATATTATATTTCATATTTCAAAAAGAAATGAACAGTTAACGCAAGACTCACTTGAGCTTCATCGCCAGTTCCAACAATTTCATCAGTTGAATTGAGTGATGAGTTCGAACTCACAAAAAAGTCTAAGCTCTTAAGTTTGGCAACACCATCGGGATTCAAGTGGAAATAATATGCAGCCCAAGCCAAATATAAAATAGCAAATGGCACGGCATAGAGATGAAGTAAGATATGTCTATGTCTATAAAGAGTTACACTTTGAACATCCTCGCTAATTCTGGACTTCACTCTACCTCTTGAAATCATTCTTCAATTATTTTCTCATCCGAAACCTCGTATCAAATAACATTCACAAATTTCAAGCTGATTAGGCTTTCGTCATTTGATAGAAAACCTGAAAACATACTTCAACATGTATGCTGCAACTGGCGATATAAAATATAATATAATATATTATCGAAACAAGTTCATTCAAAAATGAATGAAAAAGATCAAAGACAGTCTTTCCGTCATTCAACATTTGCTCGATAAACTTCGTTCCTATTTGAAATCATCGAACGGATTTATCAAGCAATATCTATCCTTTCAATTTTTTTTTCTTCTAATAATAGGTAATCAGAAGGACAAAAGTATCATAGAAACCGAGGTTACAGTCAGGAGTCCCTTCATCACGTATTCCAGTCAAAATCCTTGGAATTTTCTAGATATGGAAGTGATAATTATAAAAATATGTGAATTCAACATCTCAATGAGACAAAAAGTGGAGAAAAAAAAGAGTTTTTATTCAGTTCCACTTCCAATATCGGTACCGCTCATGGATCAAGTGTCAACCTGTAAATTTCCTTGACTTTTTGTTGGATTGTTCTGTGTTGTGAGAAACCGACACAAGTGTCAAGCAGCATATCTGAGCTAATCACACAACCGCAGTACTTGCAACTACATGTCTCATAGTCCGCAGATTCGTAACAGCGCTCTTTATGACATAAAACATGATGAAAACCGTTGCTGTAAAAAATACCTCTTTCCCTCCTGTGCGCAGGACTACAGTTTTAGCCTAATTGTTGTGATAAACTTATTAAATAGTTTTATATACGATGGTTAGAAAAGCTAAAGAAGAAGAAGGAGCAACACACTGGTTCAAATGTTCGATGGGTGACAGCTGTGGTGCGCGGGTTGAGGTTTGGATACCGAAGTTAGTGCCAAAGGACTTCCTTAAACTACCACTGTACTGCGGTTTTTGTGCCACCGAAAAACTAGACAGTCAGGAGAAAGCAATCGAACAGTTACAGAAGCAACTCCTAGCGTCTACCACCACTGTCGAAGTGCCTAAAAGCAACGCACCTTCATACAGCACAATATTACAAGGGGTTCGTAAGGAAGAGGCGGAGTCGAAACGGAAAGCGAAAAACGTCATTGTCTGGAGAGTCAAAAAGTCTGACGAACCGAAGGACAAAGAATTCATGCTGCAGCTGAGTGCAGACTTAGGAACAGATATTGACGTTACTAGTACAAAACGAATTGGTAAAGAGAACGAAAATGGAGAATAGTTGATACTTGTCTCTTTGACATCAGAGCTGCAAGCTCAAAACATCCTGAAACTGGTAAAAAAACTCAAGGAGTTCGAACATTACACAAATATTTACATCAATAAAGACTTGACAAAAAGCCAACAGCTTGAAACCAAAAAAATCAGAGATGACTTGAAAGCTGTGCGACGGGAAGATCCCGATGGGGTTTAATTTATCAAGCACAACCGAGTTACAAAGAAAAATTGACTATCGGCACTGCTTTGGAACGTGGAGGGACTGAAAACCTCACTTGAATTACAACCGAATGATTTTGTCACATCCCACGCCTTTTTACTGTTAACAGAGACTATGGACTTAAGGGACACAGAAATAACTGGTTTCACCTGTTATTCTTTGCCAGCAGTTTGTCATGATGTGGGAAGACCGTCAAGCGGTATCGCTATTGCGATCAGTAAAAACATTCAATCAAATAGCTGCATCATTTTTAAATCCCAACACGTTCTTATTGTGAAAGTCAAAAACTGCAAAATGAACTTTTTGGTATCGTATTTTCAACCTTGTACAAAACTAGAGGATATCATTTAGATGGACTATCCAGAATCGACAAGGAAGAGCTTACGATCATTGCAGGAGATTTTAACTGTCGCCTGGATCGGGGCGAAAGAGGCACTGACTTATTGGATATCTTATGGGAATTAGGGTTTGCTTGTCTCAATAGCTCCCAGGCACCAACATACTACTGCCATAATGGCTGCAGTGCCATTGATTTAGTGTTTACAAACAACCTACAACTAATTTCAGACAATGTGACTATCACAGAAAATTCTGCTACGAAGCACTGCACCGTTGGATTCAAAGTTCACACCGACGTTGAAAGAGCTGACAGTAAGACTGCTCATATCAGAAAAATCGATCTTGAAAAGCTAGAATACAAACTTAAAATCCTCAGCACGCCGTGTGTCGAGTCGTTGGATCGATGGTACGGAAACTTCATCTCGGCATTTAGAGAGTCAGTTCCATCTGCCAAGAAACGGATCTCGAAGTTCTGGTTCGACAGAAGCTGTTATTTGCTCCACGCAAAATTGAAAAAACAATGGGATCTCTGCAGAAGACAAAAAAATACAGAAAATCTTCGTGTGTTTGCATGTTAAAAAAAAGAATTCAAAAAATTATGCCAATCTAAGAAACAGTCTCATGAGAAAACGAAAGAGGAACTTACCCTCAGCGTAGCAGAGTCTGACAAATCTCAGTTTTGGACCATACTTAAGACCAGAAAACCACCGATCGCGTATTGCGTTGTCAGTTCTGACACCTGGTTCGATCACTTTGAAGTGATAATTATGAAAGAAGATGACAAGTGTTTAAGTCTTTTTCAATTAAAATCGATACGGGTTACGTTTCTTCAATAAGAACACGCAACTCGACACGAAAAAATATAACATACAAGTGTTAAAAATAAAAAATTTCGTCGAAAGTTATTTTGTCATTTATTTTTCTGAGTACGCAAGCGGCGTTCGCAATCTGTATTGCCAGGGAGATTCTCTGTTTTAAAAACCTGCCTGCTCTGCGTTCCGCAGTGCATTTGCTTAGGTTCTTAAAAAGCTTGCTCGAAAAAAATTCTGTGCTGGGGCCGGCCGCGCCCTGAATTTCAAAAGCTAGCGGTTGAAAAAGATATCCATCATTTAAAAGATCTTTATACTTATCAATTTTTTCGCTCTTCCGCTTCAGCGGCAGCCGTACCAGGGTTACAAACAGACCCGGCATTAATCCTACAAGGAGCAAAGGAGTCTACTACCGTTACATCCCACAAGAGCTGCATACCAACAGCCCATGGAACGAGCGTCAAACCGTCTGGTCGCTTCTTATTGGTCCTGTAGAGGTGTCGTGGTTCTAAAACAGACGGAATGTGAGTAGAAGAAAAACTCTGCTTTATAAGGGCATTCAGGTTTGAATGCCTAGAGAATCTCCCAGCATTTTTCAGGCAAGGAAGACCATGCCAACCATCCTCAGTAACGTCTTTTCAGCACACGCATTTGTGCCGTTCGCATATTTTTGAGCCTAATCGAAGTCCTATCGCAATTCTGAGTTGTTGATTTGACAATTTTAACCTTAAATTTTTGCACGGGATGACATTCAATCATTGGGAGCCAAATCAATCATGGAACGCGTTGAATCTTTTTACGTCCGTACGTTCGAGTCGTAAAATCAAGTCTGCAATTTCGCTGTCAAAAATTGGCTCCGTCCCATTTTTTTGGATTTCGTTTTCCGGAGCCATTTCAATTTTTCCAAGTTCAAACCACCGTTTAAGCGTATCGTTATAGGTTCCATCCACATACTCCAAACCAAAGATTTAGCTCAAGGCATCTTTTGCTTCTACTGCTGAGGCTAAGAAAGCGGGTAAAGCTAGTAGACGAGCGGAAAAAACGCCCAAGCCACCTTTGGCTGCCGGGAGAACTGCTTGTAAAAACTGGTTATCATCCATTTTCACGTTAGTGTCCTTGCATAACGAAACTCTTAGTATTTTGTCGTTGCGTTCCAAAAAATCATTTTGCAAAAAAATAGGAGTTTAGGCATGCTAAAGCAATTTTTCAGGAGGTAAAAACCATAACGGGCGTCTAGTTTGTCAATGACATCCGAGATTTTTTCAAGCTCCTTAATTTTTTTGTCGAGCAATTCTTTTCGCCGATTGGAGATCCTAAAATGAGGAGTTCTTCTTTTGGTTTTATTTTTATTTTAGGGCATATTTTTCGAAATAGTGATAAACTGAATTATACTGTGTACTAGTAGACGGTCCCAAAAAAAAAGTTCGCACTTCTCAGTGTTCAAGCTCAGGCCGTAAATTTAGTCCGATTTAAGAATGTTTTTAAGGTCCCGGATTACTACCTTATAGTCGTCCGCTAAATTTCCATCATCTAAGTACCAGATAATAATTTTCGACTCCAACGTTTGACTAGTGTATGAATTGTTTCCGCAAAAAGGGGTGGGGCTTCAGGATCACCTTGCTGAGTTCCGTCTTCTGACATTATGACAGAGCTTCTGTAAAAAAGGTAACTAGTTTTACCATACGCGCAATGGGTTTAATTATACAAGTCGGGGCGATTTGAATAAACATGATTCAGCAATGTTTCTCTATTTAGAGAGTTAAAGGCATTCTTAAAATCGTGTTTTAAAAGCACAGTGCAGTTTGGATTGTCGTCGCGTTCCATTAGGTTTCGAAACGAGTGCGCAGCTATTTTTGCTCCTCGGTTGGTACCGCATCCTACCTGTATGTTTCCGAAAAAAATTTGTCGCTCGGAGAGGGCCTTGCTTCCAGCGCATTTAGACGCGATACGTCTCAGCGTGTTGCCTATGGCAATCGGTCTCAACCCTCCGTCTATCTTTATGAGGGCGATAAGCTTTGGACCAAAAAAGAAAAGTCCTAGGGGTTCGGGTTTTTTGCCATCTCCAATGAGATTTATCAGCTTAGTAAGCGATTTCAGAAAATTAAGTCCACCACTGCCATTCGACTTACTAACAAGATCTTTAAAATTTTGAGGAAATATTTCATCAGGATGATGTTCGGAAAGGACATTATCGCTTTGTATAGGTCGAAATCGTTTATGAAAAAACTATCCAACTTTTCTGGATTTGGAGCTGCAAATTTGGCTCGCTGAGGGTGCTTAGACAACAATTTTTGATAGTTATCATTTGAAAAAGGAGCAATTTTGTCATCCGAAGCAGCAAGCCTTGTTCCTCCCTTTACATTTTCTTCATCGAGCTTACTACTTTTTAGCTTTATTCTCTGCTCGAGGTCACTCAGAGGCGGGCTTGAAACTTGGGGATGGGGTTTTGCAAGTGACACGTCATTTGCTTGAATTTTTTTATTTATCAAAGAGTTCATGCTTGTGGTCTGTTTGCGTCCACTTCTTTTCGGTTGCTCAAAAAAAAAACAAGAACGACATTTAAAAAATTAGCCATTTTGTAACATCTTCTACATTGTAGACGATGTCATTTATTTTGTCCGACAGACTTTCCGCCAAGGGAACACGCGAGTCTTTTGGTACTCTCTTGAGTACTCGGACATTTGAGATGGCTGTATTAACATAATTGTCTAGCACTAAATCATTACCTTTTGTTGCTTTATTAACAGATCTTACATCAACGCATTAGGGACACTGAAACCATTATGTTTTCTTAGAGTCGCTAACAGAAATATTTACGCAACTGATATGGTACCAACTAGAACAACAATCACATCTAATCCATTTATCAGTCCTGCAATCTTTGCTTGTACACTCTTTGTTGTTTTTCCTCATCTTGACGCAGCATAAAGGTAAAAAAAAGGATTTTGACTGGACTTGAGGGGACTGAACTAACCCATGATAAGCGGTTAGTGGGAATTTTATAAATCAGTAAAAAAAAAAATAAAAGACATTTAGATTAAATTTTAAAATCGAATTATAAAAATCAAAAACAAGGAACAATCTCACCCGAGCTCAGTAGGTCCAGCGGTGCACCACCAGACTCTTCGAGCCAGTTCCAGTTTCCCACCTCCCCACAGAAAGCCACTTGACAGACCTGTCTCCAAAATCCCTCAGAGGGCGCTCCACAAACATGCACAAACATCAAACATAACAAATCTATTTAATAAGTTTATCACAAAATTTAGGCTAAATTCAATTAGGTTGCCAATGAATTTAGTTGTCTTGGATGCTTTGCCTCCCTACTCTACAGTTTGACAAAAACAAAGTTCATGGAAAAATTTCGGATATAAATTCAGAATCTAAAATTCTTATGTATAATTTCAAAGGTGTACAAAATTAAGAAAAAAAGTTATATAAATTGTTTCGCTGTTGGATTAGCCTAATTGTTGTGATAAATTTATTAAATATGTGTAATGATAGTGCTTGTTTGTCGAGCGCCCTTTGAGGGATTTTAGAGACAGGTCTGCCAAGTATGTCTCTGGTCTGGAGGAAGGAGTTTCTGGCTTGGGGAGTGTGGTGGTGCGCCGCTGAACCTTCTGAGCTCGGGCGAGATTGTTACATATCAGCGAGTTTTATATATGTATTGTTTTTCTTCAAATTAATTGTGTAATATATATTTCTGTCATTTAAAATAATCCAACCCTGTTATTATGGTTAGTTTACATATCAGCGAGGTTTAAATATGTATTGTTTTTCTTCAAATTAATTGTGTAAAATTTATTTCTGTCATCTAAAAAAATCCCACCCTGTTATTATGGATAGTTAGTTTGATGGGAGTCCCCTTGTTACCATTTTTAGGCCATCAGCCAAACGACGGTGCTAGGGGTTTTCGCAGACAGTTATAAATTGTAATAGCTACTTTCAAACGCGGCATTGGCGTTTAGCGACCGCTTGCTCCGCTGCGCTTCAATTCAACACGAGTGTTTTTGTGCGCGTAAATCTTTGTTTTGCCGCTAATTAAAACTTTGTGTTTTTGAAGTTGATAGTTTTGATGACAAATCGTGAGATAATTGACTTAATTGGGTAATTGGGGAAGCTGGTTCCCAGACTGAGCGTTTTTTTGAGTCTGCCAGTCAGTCATCTATCACTTAATTACGTTTGTCGGCTGAACGACTCATTTTTCACTTTTTATGCTAAAGTATTTGTCTGCTAAACGATCGGTCCCCCCAAATGACGATCAATCAGCTTTTGTTTGCATGCAAAAAAGACCTCATAGCTGGGTCTCAGATCCCCAGACAACATGATTATTACTGAAAACACGGCTATGAACCACATTTAGAGATATTTTTAGTGACAGTTACATATTAGATCCATAAGAGATGGATTGACTCTTTTCGCGCCCCTAAATACTCATGCTCTAAAAATCTGAATTGATATTAAATTAAAATAAAAGCGTTCGGGACATTACAGCAGCTTAAGGGTAGCCAACGTTTTCTAAAAGAGTCTCTGGGCAGCAGGCCTCCAATTCCAACCTCTCCCAGATATAATGTCGTTATCTCTTATCTTCTACTGCTCGATAGGGTTCGGAGTTGCCCCGAATGTCCCACTCGACCTTCTCTCTACGCTGTATTCTACAAGTAAGGTAAGCACCTTTTAAGCTTTGGAGTAATTGCAACAAGATTTGCAAAAATTAAGTGCACGTTTTCCATGTTTAAGAATTTGTTTTATCCGATAAAATAATGAAAACACTTTTGTCCTGATTTTTTGAAGAAATTTTTAAAATGTTGTAAGAATTGCGATATCTAGAAAAAAAGAATGGTCTCGAGAGTCTTTATTTCCACAAAAATGCTGATTTTTTGGGGGTAGCCCAGACGCATTTAACAATGGGTTCAACATTTTTTTTTCTGAAAGTCATAAAATTTTTTAATCAATGCAAAGTTTTGAATTAAAAAGGAGTTTTTAATCTTTTGGTAAAACCACGGTATTTCATAACAAGTTTTTTCTATTTCAATAGGCAAAGAGTCTAACTTTTTCCTTTTCATATTTAACTTCCATACTTCATACCGTGTCAATGATTCTTCAATTTTTCGTTTGCCGAAAAAATCCGCAAGTTATCTCGCACAAGATCTCCTTATTCGTTTTTGAGAACTTTGAAAACCAAACACTTCGTTTAAAAGAGACTCACAGTTCATTTTTATGTACGTTTTAGGACGAATTTCAGGAAACCGCTGATATACACTCAGAAAAAGTCAGTATTTTTTTTCTCGAACTTAGTTTCACATTGATTTTGCAGTTTTCAATTGGATTTTAAACTGGAAAACTACAGCAACCGTAAACAAAAATGCCATCCTGAAAAGTAGGAACTACAACACGGACAACACTTCAAAATGAAACCATATTGTTTTTCAAGTCTCATTAAACAAAATGCTTGTAAACGATAAATGAAAGTTTGCAACCTAATAAAAAGCTCAAATAAATTCCTACGGGTTCAATCTTCTTTGGCAGGAATTCAAATGAAAATCAAAACTGCAAGACCTTGATTTAACGTGCGTTCGACTGTTTTGAATATCTGACATATTTGCTATCAGCCATCAATTTAAAATATGTAGGTTGAACCTAACTTGTTCAACAAATCATCATTATGCATCGTGAGCAGAAAAAATGAGTTCAGCGATTTACAACTAAAAAAAAGATCACTAAAAAAGTTTAAAATAGTAAAGGTGCCTAAATTGATCCCTGTGGAACTGCGCATTGAAATTTTTTCCAATCACAGCTAACCGTATTAAAATCACCATGCTGTTTGCGGCTGTGAAGTTTAATTTTGAACCAGTTTAGTAAATTAGTGACGAGGCAAATTTTTCCTATTATGCTTTTTAGTATTTAGTGGTCAATATTATCTAACGCTTTTTTGGAATCCAAGAAAAAGCTTTGAATTTCATCAAATAATGATGACCTCATTTTTGGTTTGTTTCATTGGTTAGTTTATTCATTTTACTCCAAGCAATTGAAAAAGATATAGGTCAGTAAACATTCTCACATTTTCATGGAGAAGAAGAGCTTTTGCTTTGCAAAAGTTTTTGAGATTTTTTTTTCGAGAATGAAAGGTTGATTTCGAACGCTAAACACGAAGTCACAATTGCAGACAAATTTTAAATTAATTTATTACTAATGTAGTCGTCACCTGACTAATCGTTTTTATCTAATTTGTTTTTTGTTCTTCAAATTTTCACTGTGTTTGTTTCGTTATTTTTCATCAGAAAAGAAACATTCACATCATTCGTTGTCTCAATTGATGTCTTTTTTGTGTGTTCTGCCCGTGGTTGTAAAAAGTATAAAGTTTTTTCTGCAATATCAGCATCTGGTAGATTACCTGGGCAAAAACTAAAATACGATTGCAATATGGGGATTAGATTAGATTTAGAGCTTTTACCACTAATATCATCACGTAGTTTATAAGTTTGTACTGAGTCTCCGTTACAATTTTCGAATTTAATCCAATAAATATTTTTTTTATAATGTTTCACTTCTTTTTTGAATTGCATCCGTAATTTTTTCAGTTTGTGACATTTTTGACTGTGCATCATTTTGTATCATCTGCAGAAATAGTGGGCTCTACTGATTCACAACTCAAAAGATGATCATATACAAAAAATAAAATTGAAACAAAGGCCCTTAAAATTGACCTAGTTTTTGATGACATTTTGCTAGTTTAAAGTTGATTTTATACAACGACAAAAAATTTTGAAAAGCTTTTTTGATATTTTGTCAAGTACACCTTCTTCAAAGGGCATTACAACCTGCTTCAGCATACAGCAAATACCTCTTGTTTATATGACACTGCCACCCGAAATGCTTTCATTTTTCGGAAGATTTCCTCTGACTTCTCATTGATTGTCTTTCCCTGGTTATTGGTTTTACCTTCCTCTCTTAGCCCAAAATTTTCGATGTTTTCACTCTTGTTATATGTTTTCAGCTTCCCTGTCTCACACTTCATTATCAGATCTTTTTTTCATCCGCTAATTTCATGTTTTTGCGCCGCTTTATCAAAAACTTCGACTTTCAGCCCATTCGCTGCATTTCTGACAGCTTCTGAAATTGCTGACTGCAGTTATAATAAATATTGCTCTCTTTAAAAGGAACTGCATTGCTGATTGCTCTTTCTAACGCGGAGCTTATCAACTTTGTTGTTTTGTGTCGCTTTCGTGTTCGCTAAGTTGGCTCGGAACTGTACGAGGGCTTTAGTTTTTGCTCCTCACTGCAGGAATCTGATCGAGATATCCCACGTCGGGAACTTTCACTTCAGTGCGTTTGATGTCTTCTACCTGAGTTTCAGTGTTTTGAGTGGTAACTATTCATACATACATACATACACAAATACATACATACGAACACTCCTCGGCCAAAAACAGTTGATTTGTGTTTATCGGTCAAATTATTTCCTTCGTTTTTTCGGTTGAAAAAGTTGTTCAGTCAAATGTTTTAAACGTTTTTCTCCAAACGTTTTTAAACGTCTTTTTAAACATTTTTCTCCAGCTGTTTACTTTCCTTCGGTCGCGGTTAATTTTCCTTCGGTCGCGCCTGTCGCGGTTAACTTTCCTTCGGTCGCGCCGGTCGCGGTTAACTTTCTTTCGGTCGTGCCGTTCGCGGTTAATTTTCCTTCGGTTGTGCCGTTCGCGGTTAATTTTCCTTCGGTTGTGCCGTTCGCGGTTAATTTTCCTTCGGCCGTGCCAATTGCGGTTAATTTTCCTTCGGCCGTGCCAATTGCGGTTAATTTTCCTTCGGTCGCGCCTGTCGCGGTTAACTTTCCTTCGGTCGTGCCGTTCGCGGTTTATTTTCCTTCGGTCGCGCCATTCGCGTTCAACTTTCCTTCGGTTGTGCCGTTCGCGGTTTATTTTCCTTCGGTCGTGCCAATCGCGGTTAATTTTCCTTCGGTCGCGCCTGTCGCGGTTAACTTTCCTTCGGTCGTGCCGTTCGCGGTTTATTTTCCTTCGGTCGCGCCATTCGCGTTCAACTTTCCTTCGGTTGTGCCGTTCGCGGTTTATTTTCCTTCGGTCGTGCCAATCGCGGTTAATTTTCCTTCGATCGCGCCATTCGCGGTTAACTTTCCTTCGGTCACGCCAATCGCGGTTAACTTTCCTTCGGTCGCGCCATTCGCGGCTAATTTTCCTTCGGTCGCGCCGGTCGCGGTTATCTTTCCTTCAGTCGTGCCGTTCGCGGTTAATTTTCCTTTGGTCGCAA